ACATTTAGATTTTACTTCCACACCGCACCTCCTCTGAGTCTCTGTATGCTTTTCTCTTTCCTTCTAGTTGTAGAATTTCCACTCAGCCAGCCTTCCTGTGGTTCTGGATGATGTCCGTTCCGTCTTTTAGTTGTATTCTTGAAGTGGTTGTGCTAAGCAGCAATCTCCAGTGTTTACCTGTGCCGCCATCTTGGTTTTTCTCTCCCCCTCGCTTTTTTATAGTTAGGATCTGCTAGCTATGAATTTTCTTATTTTTTGTTTATGAATATCTTCTTTTATTTCTTAAAATATTACAAAGAGTATTACACATGTCTCCTTTTTTCCCCCCTAGACATTCCCCGGCTTCCCCCACCCCGCAGTGTCTTGTGTCCATTAGTTATTCTCATATGCATGCATATAAGTCCTTCGGTTGATCTCCTACCCCCCTAACCCTCCCCAGGGTTCCCACTGTAGTTTGACATTCTGCTCAATGCTGTTCTGCCTCTGTATCCATTTTTGTTCATCAGTCTATAATGATCCTTATTATCCATAAATGAGTGAGTTCATGTGGTATTTTTCTCAGCTTCTCAGGGGCCGTCTCAGTCTCACAGGGGCCATCTCAGCCTCACAGGGGCTGCCCCAGCCTCACAGGGGCCTTCCCAGCCTCACAGGAGCCGTCTCAGCATTTATGAACATCTTTAGTTTGCCTTCATTTTGACAGAGATTTTCGGTGGAATAGAATTCTGGGTTGACAGTTTTTATTTTTTCCCTAACAGTTGGAGAGACCTTTTTCAATTATCTTCTAGCCTCTTTTTTCTTTTTTTTTCTGATTAGTCAGTGGTAACTTGTATTATTGTTCTTTGTGTATAACTTGTGTTTTTATCTGCTTCAAGATTTCTCTTTTGTATTTTTTAGTGGTCAGTATTTTGTCTCTCATGTGCCTAGGTGGTTTTCTTTGTATTTGTCGTGCTTCATGAAACTTGACATTTTAGTCTTTCACCATAGGTAGGAAATTTGGGGGCATGATTTTGTTACATATATTTCTGTCCCATTCTCTTTATGGGATTCCAGTTTTGATACTATTCCTTCAAACCAGGTCACCAAGGCTTTGGTTCTTTGTTTTTATTTTCCAACCTTTTTTCTTTCTCTTCTTCAGATTGGACAATATCCACTAATCTGTGTTCTGAATCTTTCTTTTGTAATCTCCAATCTCCTATAACCCAATCCAATGACATTTTTAAAAATTTCAGATACTGAATTTTTTAGTTCTAAAATTTTCCAGTTTTTTTTAAAAAGAGTGTGTATTTTTATTGATTTCAGAGAGGAAGGGAGAGGGAGAGAGAGATAGAAACATCAATGATGAGAGAGAATCATTGACAGGCTGCCTCCTGCACATCCCACAATGGAGCCCGCAACCCGGCATGTGTCCTGATCAGGGATCGAACTGTGACTTCCTGGCTCATAGGTTTATGCTCAACTACTGAGCCATGGGCTCATTTGGTTCCTTTTTATGGCTTTTATTTCTCTACCAATATTTGTTTAATTCATTGCGAGCATATTTTTCTTCAAACTCTTGAGCTTAGTTTCAATAGCTACTTTAAAGTTTTTGGTAATTACCACATGTTGGGGTCTGCCCCACACATCTGTAATTCAGTGGTGAGCCAGAGATGTCCGCAATTGCATAGGTAGAATTTAGTGCTCTTTCTCTTTGGCTTTATCCTTTTCAGGATTCCCCCCCTCACTTCCCAGCTGCTGTGAAACTGTTTTCGGGTTTCTCAAGCCAATGTGATTGTGGGTAGTTTTCCCCACGACTCCCAGCAACAACTGGGGCCTTGCTTCCAACCAAGAGCAGTAAACAAATGGGACGCTCACCCAGTGTTACTCCCTTCTAAGTATTGACTTCCCTTCCATTTTCCCTGATGTTGATCATTCTCCAGCACTTTTTATTTTGTCCAGAGTTCATAGTTACTTATGAGAAAGCCAATAGGTCTGATAGGAGCCACTCTGCCATTTCTGGAAGAGGAGCCAGCGTTGAGCTATTAACTCCATTCTTTTAAGTGCATATATGTCCATGATATGGCACATATCCCTCCATTTATGTAGGCTTTTAGAAATGTCACATTGGCCCAGCTGGTGGAGCTCAGTGGTTGAGCGTTGACGTATGAACGAACCAGGAGGTCAGAGTTTGATTCCCGATTGGAGAACATGCCCAAGTTGTGGGCTCAGTCCCCAGTGTGGGGCATGCAGGAGGCAGCCTATCAATCGTTCTCTCTCATAATTGATGTTTCTATCTCTCTCCCTCCTTCTCCTTTTCTTTCTGAAATAAATAAATATATATACATACATATATAAAATAAATATTTCAAATTGTTTTTATAGTTTTTTGGGTATAGTCTTATATATCATTTGCTAGGTTTATTCTTCATGGGTATTTTTTGATACCCTTTCATTTTCTGTTTCTTGCTAGTATATATAGAAGTACAATTAGTTATAAAAATATTGACCTTGTACATAATAGTAACCTTGCTAATGTCACTCATTAATTCTAATAATTCATCTGTAGGTTTCCTTTGGAGTTTCTAGGTATGCAATTTGCTGGGGTTCTTGTCCCAGCATCAAGAAGGGTTCAGGAATCTGGAGAAAGCTGTGCGTAGATTTAAAGAGTCCAGAGACGAAGTATAATTTTGAAAGGCATTTGGGGGTCAGAGGAGCTTAGCTAAAGGAGCTAAGATCCAAGATCTAAATTCTCAGGTCTCAGGTCTAAGGCCTTAGGTTTTCCTCGTCCCCAGGACCCCATGGTTTTTATGAACACAACTTGTCCTGAGGTGAGGCAGAGATATACACTTCAAAGGGTATACAGAAACATTGTCAGAATGGGGGAATTAGCCTACGGCTATTCAGGTGTTTGGCCAGTAGGAGGCAATAACATGTAAATTAAGATGTGTTTTAGCTGTCTGGCAGCCAAGAAATCAATTTAATGTATCCTATTCAGGTTTGGGGAAATGCCTTCAGCCATTCCCAGATGCAGCCCTGCTGTCATGCTGGAATTGGTCTCCGGCAGCAATTATATATTCTGATCACAGATTCAATTTCTATTCTTTCTAATCCTTATACATTCCTGTCTTTTGCCTTATTGCTTTGGTTAGGACCTCTGATAGAGCTTTCAATAGTAGGTGTTTTTGTATTGTTCCTGATCTTAAAAGAGAAGGCTTTTAATATGGCACCATTAGGTACAGTGTTTCTTTAGTGTTGTTTTTTAGATACTCTTATCAGATTAAGGAAATTCCCTTACTAGAAGAGTTTTCCATTTTTGTTTTTAAAATAAGAATGGATGCCCAGATGGCATGGCTCAGTGTTAGAGCAGTGACCTATAAACTAGGAGGTGATGGTTTGATTCCCGGTCCAGGCACATGTCTGGGTTTCAGGCTTGATCCCCAGTACAGGGTGTACAGCTGATCAGTGATTCTCTCTCATCATTGATGTTTCTATCTCTCTCCCTCTCCCTTCCTTTATGAAATCAATAAAAATATATTTAAAAAGATAATCCTATATAATCCTATATAATAAAGAGCTAATATGCTAATTAGACTGAACAGCTGTCCAGATGACCTTCTGGATGAAGCTGGGGCTTCGAGGGCTGGCTGAGGCAGCCAGGGCTACAAGGGATGGCCAGGCTGCAAGGGCTAGCCAAGGCAGCTGGGGCTGCGAGGGCCGAGCTCCTTGCACAAATTTTGTGCATCGGGCCTCTAGTAATAAAATAAGAATGGATGGCCTGGCTGGTGTGGCTCAGTGATTGAGCGTTGACCTATGAACCAGGAGGTAACGGTTCGATTCCTGGTCAGAGCACATGCTGGGGTTGCAGGTTCAATCCGCAGGGCATGTGCAGGAGGCAGCTGATGAATGAGAATTTTCTCTTATCTTTGACGTTTCTCTCTCTCTCTCTCTCTCTCCCCTTCTCTGAAATCAGTAAAAAAAAATACATTTTTTAAAAAAAGGATGGATGTTGAACTTTACCAAATGCTCATTATGCACTTAAGATGCTCATATGACTTTTCTCCTTTATTCTGTTAGTGTAATAAATCAGAAACCAATTTGGAAGTTATTCTTTTTATAAATTGCTGCATTCTGTTTGTAAAATTTGACCTATTTTTAATCGCTTGCCCACTCTCCTGCCAATGTGTCAGTTTGATTCTGATTGAGGACTCTTCATGTAGCATTTATATTGAGTACAAAAACTTTCCATAAGAAATCTAGACATTGATTTGTACAACATCTAGGAAAGAAGGGTCATAAAACCTACAATATTGTTGTCCCATTTCCTGTGTTAGAATTCATTTTGATAGTGTCAGATTGTGGGGTGGGTTGTGGGCATGTTGTGGTGCTGTTTGTACAGTTGCTCTTAGGTCACCCCCCATATCTGGCCGTGGACAGATTGTTTTTATTGCCATGAACTCTGCTGGAAAAGAGGTAACTGAAGCTTTTCCATTGATTTTTAGAGAGTGGAAGGGAGGGGGAGAGACAGAGAGAAAGATAGGTTGCCTCTAGCACTCACCCAGACCAAGGCCAGGGATCCAGCCTACATGCTGTTAACTGGAATTGAACCCGAGACCTACAGTCCTTGGGCCAGTGCTCTATCCACTGAGCCAAACCGGCTAGAGCACTCCCCAGTTTCCTTACATAACCTGGCTGAACGGCCAGAAGTGAGAAGGGCAGAGAGTGGTCAGAGATCTAGAAAGGGCGGGCTGAATGGAGAACTAAAGAGTTTGACATGACTTTGCTCTTCCATTTGGCTACAGCCTCCTATTAGTGTGATAGTTTCCAGAGTGTACTTGTTAGGCCATAATTGAGCACCTCTCACTTAGATAATAAGCATTCAGTTAGAATGAGTTTCTCATTTCTACTCTGCTGACGTAAATGATGTCTTTACGAGGTGACATCCAAGCAAGATCAAGCTTGTATGTTTTCTCCACCATGGGCCCTGTGTCACTGTATCCCCACCGGTCAGTGATATTAACTCAGAGGCTTTACCCTCACACCATGCTGCAGGCTAACTTTTCACTTGTGCGTTTTCTGTTTGTAAACAGCTTACTGCCGAGTGGGCCTAGGCATCTGCTACGACATCCGCTTTGCAGAGCTTGCACAAGTCTACGCCCAGAGAGGTAGGGCAGCACTGTGGTTGTGTTGTGTGGGTGCTTGGAGGTTTGAGTGGGTAGAGGGAGCCCTTAGTTGGAAAAGCTGGAGGAGAGGTCTTAACCTCTCCATCCCCATCTGGCTTCTCACACTTTTGCTGTGTCTGGACAGTGTCGTTTTCCAGAGGTTGTGATTTAACACGCCATGCGGCTAAGGCAAGACTCTTAAACATCTGCTCCACCCTTCCAGCCCTTCCTGCTGCTGTGTTTGCAAAGAGTCCCTTGGAGCCCAGTAGAAAGGAAAACATGGTCTGTCCCTCGTGGATTTCACTATGCCATAGTCCTATGGTGGGTGCAGTGGAAATGTGGTCAGTGACATTTTGGTCCAGAGAAAAGGTGTCCTACCACCCAGCACCAAACCACGTCAGAAGATCAGGGTTCTGGTTCTAACTCTTTCGCCTACCTGGTATGATACTTTGGGTAAATGATTTCATTTCATTGTGGCTCCCAGTTTTCTCATGGGGATGGTGTGAGGACAAAGGAGAGAGAACTTGTTAAAGCTCCTTGTATGGCACTCAACAAATATTACAGCCCTGCTCGCCTGGTGAAGCTACCCTGGTTCTGAACCAGCTGTCACTTAACGCAGCGAGGTGGATGCCGACAGTTCGCCTGCTCTGGGGAAGGCGGAGGCTCGGGCTCTGGCTTGGCAGTCTCCGTGGAGTCTTGTCCATGAGCCTGGAAGCACCTCCTCTGCCCCTCCTTTCAGGTGAAGGGCATTATAGAGGGTGGCCCTCGGCCATGCAGAGCTGACCCACTGGTGCCGAGAGAAATCTGAATGATGGTTCCCCCCGCCCCCCTTTTTTTTATGGGAACTCACATGTCGTGTTGGTTATCAGTACCACTTTTCTCGTTTGTCCGTCTGCACCATGCGAGTGTCTCTAAGAGAATTCAGAGCCATAACCTAATGTTGCTGGCACTGACCTGGCTGACGTCCTTTTATGCGTGGGAAAGTTGGAGTTTGTTCTTCACTTGTGGAGAGCAAAGGGCGGGACCAGGGAGGTTGGGTGTTCCTCTGCACTGACTCTCGGCCTCCCTCTCCCCTAGGCTGCCAGCTGTTGGTCTATCCTGGAGCTTTTAATTTGACCACTGGACCAGCTCACTGGGAGTTGCTTCAGCGAGGCCGGTAAGACAGCATTATCAGCATACCTTCCAGAATCCCAGCGCTTCTCTGTGGAAAGGTTTCAGGGTGGTGGAAGTGCCAGCCTTCCTGATACAGAATGGTGCTGTGACTCAATTCCGCAACATCCAATTGCATTTCAAATAGGTGCATCTTTTCGTCTTTCAGCCCAAAAGGAAGGCTTCTGCTGGGAACATTCTCTTCAGAAGCCACAGCACCAATCTCTTAGATTTTAGGTGACTGTGGTTTTGCATTTCCAAGAGCTTTTAGTGCATCAAGTGGACAGCGATTTCATTTACTGTGATTAGATGTGAGCTGATTTCCCTGGGACAGTTGCTGGCAACTTTTACAGAGAATTGAGAGACCCATGGAGTATGGATGTTCAGAGCCCAGAAGCCCAGGAAAAGCAGGAGTTATTTTAGCCTGACAGCCCAGGGGAGAGGATTGTGGTCTTCACAATCCTCTGTGCTGTTTGGGTTGCTTACCCCACCCTAACTTCCACAGCAGCCTGCTAGTCCTGGGGATGCTCTGCCAGGAACCTTGTTATAAAACCTCATGTTTCTAACCTCTAAATGCTGGGCATCGCACAGCTATCTCTGATGTGTCATAGTTGCTGTTTCCTTAGTCCCCCTGAGGCTGAGCAGTGAAAGGCAGGTAGCAGGGGTGGATGGAACATGGAAGGGAAAAGGAGTGTGACTGTGTGTAAAGTGCTCTACAAACCATGAAATGCTGGTCAGAGACTATGGGTTTCTTGATTAAATGTTTTTGTTTTATGTGTTTTTTTAAATAATATATTTTTATTGATTTCAGAGAGGAAGAGAGAGGGAAAAGACATAGAAACATCAATGAGGTGAGAAAATCGATAGGCTGCCTCCTGATGCCCTCCACTGGAGATCGAGCCCCAAACCAGGGTATGTGCCTTGACTGGGAATCGAACCCTGACCACCTGGTTCATGGGTCAATGCTCAACCACTGAGCAACACTGGCTGGGCTTGATTAAATGGCAGGCCGACGCTCTATCCACTGAGCCAAACCGGTTTCGGCAATTAAAAGTTTTTTAAATTGAGGTATAATACACTTACAGAAAAGTACACTAATTTTGCCTCTACAGGCCGGTCAGTGAATGTTGACACATGTACCACCTACAACCAAGATCAACATATGGAATATTTTCCAATCCCTAGAATGGTCCCTTTTGCTCCTTCCTAGTCAGTGCCCTTTTCTCTCTGCCCAGAGGTGGCTACTGTTCTCCCTTCTAGAGATGATGGTAATTTTCACTGCAGGGGGATGTAGAGGTGTTTGCCTGGTTGCATTGTAGAAGGTGGGGTAGGGGTGTGTGTTATGAATATTAATAAATGCAGTGAAAGTGGAAAGCAAGAAAAGCTTAGGAGAGACTGGCATGACTAGCATGGATCTATTGATTGAGCCCAGAGAACTCCCAGGTGAGGAGGCTTGATGTACCCAGGCTGGACACCTGAAATTCTGATCTAACCTGAGGTGATGGCACAGCCACCATTGGCATGGAAGTGCCATGCAGCCCTCAACGTGTATTGACTCATCAAAGCCAACCCATTGGCCTTAGCCACCTTGGCTTTGTTAACCCCAGAGAAGTTCTTTCAGTGGTTGGCTCAGGCCAGAGTCTGTCCACTGTGGCAGTAGTGACATTTTGGACTAGATTATTCTGTGTTGTCGGGGGCTCCCTGTGCACTGTAGGATGGTTAGCAGCATTTCTGACTTCCACCCACTGGATGCTAATAGCATCCCTCTAGTTATGACAATTAAAAAATCTCCAAACCGGCCGGCGTGGCTCAGTGATTGAGCATCAACCTATGAACCAGGAGGTCACGGTTTGATTCTTGATCAGTGCATGTGCCTGGGTTGCCAGCTCAATCCCCAGGGTGGGGCATGCAGAAGTCATCCAATCAGTGACTCTCTCTCATTGATGTTTCTCTCTCTCTCTCTTTCTCTCTGAAATCAAGAAAAAATTTCTTTTTAAAAAAGAAAGGTCTCCAGACACCGGCAGATGTCCCTGCTGGCCAAAGTTGCCCCAATGAGAACTGGCTTAAGTAATAAGATGATTTTTGAAGAGAGGGTTCCGTGGCTTTGCGTTTCCTTCTACACCTGAGCCAGCCTGTCCTATCCTAGTTTTAAAAAGAAGGATCGGTCCACTTAGGATAGTAAAGTGCCTCTGATCTGTAATGTATGATATCCCTGTTTTCTGTCCATTGACTCCAGGGCTGTTGATAATCAGGTGTATGTGGCCACAGCATCTCCGGCCCGAGATGACAAAGCCTCCTATGTTGCCTGGGGACACAGCACTGTCGTGAGTCCTTGGTGAGTGGCCTGAGCAGGGACAGGCTCCCTAGGAGCTCACTTGGGCAGGTGGGCTGTCTGGTGATTGGCCCTGCCCCTCACCCACCGGGTCCGGTGCCTGCGGGTGGCTGCCTCTCCTGTGAGGAAGCTTCCACTTGAGGACCATGTGAGAAAGAAACGGCCCTGCTCTCCTGACAGGCCTGGCCTTCGCCCTCTCCTGAGTGTCTGCTGTCAGTCAGACTTGGATCATAGGGGACACAGGGCAGCAGTGATGGCTGGCAGTTCTAGTGACACAGGCCCCCAATTCTCCGCTTTTGGTTAAAATTTAGACTGGGTGACCGGGCCTCAGGCAGGAATGAGTTACAGGGTGAGGATTCTGCTCCTGGAATAATTAGAGGAGGGGGCGATGGGTTCAATAAGGAAACGGAGTTTGTCCTCTGTGAGAGGGCGGAGCATTTTACTGCTCAGCGAGACCAGCATCAGAGTCTGCAGGTGCACATGCAGGCGTGCACTGATGTACGTACCGTGGTCTCTACCTGCAGTTCACACAGCACTTCTACACGTGGTCTCAGTGTGAACACCAGGGACTTACCTTCTGGTAAGCCCGGTTTATAGATGGTGGAATTGAAGTTCACAGGCTAAAGTGACTAGAAGTGGTGTTTGGATCCAGGTTTTGACTTCAGAACTTGAATTTATGCCATACACCTGTATGATCACGCACACGCATGCACACACACACAGACACGTATTTCTACAATTTTAGGATGCACATACCAGTAACAAGGCTGAGAAGGATCCCTGGTCACTGTGGGGGTCCCTAAATCTTCTCTCTTCAGACTCAATAGGACCCACAGATTAAAGCATGTGATAAGGGGAGTCCTTGAAAATGTGACCAGCAAGAGATTCCCTGCACATCAGGATTTGGGGGGCATTGGGAAACTGGAAGGATTAAGGTGGCCTGGAAATTTTCTCAGATGTGATTCCCGTCCCTCTGCCCAGATGTTAGTGATGCACCTCTGCTTCACCTGGCTCTGCTGGTGAACTCTGGTGCAGGCCAGGCCGGCCGCTTCTGACAGAGTAACTCTTCGAGATTTACCTTAATTTCTTCCTTTTCAGAATTCCATTTGTAGGGTTTGGGGGCCTTCTGACTTATATTGACTTTGGTTTGGGTGCCTGGGGTTAACATAGAGAGAGATCTTTAAATGCCAGGGAAAATGAGGAAGAAGGAGAAAGAGAATAGGAAAGGATTCAGTTAAACGGCATTAATAATTGTGTTTGTACCTCATTTGTGCCAAATATGTTAGCAGCCGTCAGGTAAACGAAACCAGTTACTCTGTGAGATTGTTTGTTATGTCAGTCACCTTGTGCTGTGCTTTGGTGAGATGGCATTTCCCTAGGTCTGTATTGGAAGCCCTGCATTGGGCTGGGAGACGCAGCACCAGAAGTGTTTTCCAGATCAGCCTTTCCCCAGGTTTATGAAGGAGTGTTGTTGTCTCCAAGTGTGGGGCTCCTGCCGGGTGTGGTTTCCCCATCACTGCGACTCATACCCACAGATTGAAACTTTTCCTTCAAACACAGAAGGCCCTTAACATAAGGATGCAAGGGTCACAGGCGTAAGACCAGAGGTCCACACAGATCTGGGCCATGCCCAGGGCCTGCCTCACTCTCCCAGAGTCAGGGAGCAGCCCTGGGAGGGGTGAGAAAGCAGAGCCAGACCGCCCTTGTCAGGGATTCCTGTGGACATGCACTCCTGAGGGGGTGGGGGGCACCTCCCTTTGGTTACACGTGGCTCTGGCCCAGATGTTTACGTCATGGAATAAGAAAACTAGGAGTTTGCAGTTTAGAAAATATACTCCATAATTTTCTCACTAAGTCCTAGCAGAGCTTTTATTTCCACTTTATAATTTATTAAAAGTGACTTGGCTTAAGGCCACACAGCATTTTAAATGGTAGAACAGGAGTTTATATCCTTTATGGTTTTAAATCTCGGATTCCTTGCCCTTTGGCCTGTCAGATGGGGAGAAAAGACAGAGAGAGGTCTTGAATATCAGCAGATGTCAGTGAACCCACTCATCTCCCCTGAATCTTTTTCAGGGGGGAGGTCCTGGCCAAAGCTGGCACTGAAGAGACGATCGTGTATTCAGACATAGGTAAGATCTGCCTCGCCCAGGGCATCAGGTTAGGCCTCTGGCATCCCCAATGTTCTGAGGCCAGGCTCCATAGCTGGGGCAGCCTGTCACCTGGAGGAGTTCCTTTGTTCTCCCCCCCCCCCCCCCCAGAGTTTATCCTTGGTTCTTGGTCAAGTCTTCAGGGCTATAGTTCATTTTGAGTTATTTTGGTTTGTTTTGAAGTGACTCCAGGGGCTGTGCCAGGCCAGCTGTGCCTCTAGACGAGGCCTGTATTACTGAGTTACTTGCTGAGACTCTGGTAGTTTTTATACTGTTGGAGAGGAAAATCCCTGTGGTTAGTGCAGAGTTAATCTTATTAACAGTGCACTTCCCTGTTTTTGCAGACTTGGAGAAGGTGGCAGAAATACGCCAGCAAATCCCCATATTTAGCCAGAAGCGATCAGACCTTTATGCAGTGGAGGCGAAAAAGCCCTAAGGTTTGTGTTTCCAATGTGTCATGAAATAGAAAGATATGTTTCTGCAACATCAATTCCCTGCTGAATTCTTTAACGGGGATCCTTTCTGTTTGTTTGTTTTTAATTTAGCCTTCCTTTCCTGGGAACTTTCTATTGAGATGATGGAACTTCAGCACACTGATATTCTCCACACCATATTAAATAGGCAAAAAGGACTCAGGCTGGGCATTGAAGAGCGGGAGGAGAAGGGGATGGTTCCAAACCTTATTCCATAATTGAATTACGTCAAAGAAGTTGGTAAAAGTATGAGATTTGGGTATTCTGGTGGTTGATTTACCTGATATAAATGTATTTGTGTCATAAACCTTTTATCTCATTGCTGGAATTGGAATCTGTTATGTAGAAAGTGGGTATACTGTTTTCAGCAATACCTTAAAGTTATATTTTAGGTTTATGAGTAGCTGTGGGAAGCAAGGATGGGTCCTTGGTGTTTGCTAGGGGAGATGGCAGCCCTGTAGCAGCCTTCAAGAAGGAGCTAAAGAGTCGACCCCAAACTCGCCAGGTCTTAGGGGCAAGACTGTGTCAGGAGTGAGGCCTGCGGGAGGATGGCAGTAGAAACATTTGGTCAGGTGCGGGAAGCCATCCATTGTCAATGCTATCATGAGAGTGCATCAAGGAACTCGGAAGGCTGATGAACCTTGATTTTTAGCAGGGCTAAAAGCTATGCACCGATTGTTCTGTGTTGAGATATCGATGGCTTGAAGCAATTTCCTGACCTAATAGCCTCAAAGTAAATCTTTACTGATCTTTACTGACCTTTGAGATTGTCTGCTACCCGTTTGCCATGCTTAACTGAGGGCAAGATGTGTATCTAAAATTGAATAAAAGCTGACAAGGTCAGGGTTTCAGGGAGCTTCTCCTCTAGAGAGAGGTTTCCACCTGGCCCCCTATGCCTTCTAAATTCATATTTCTTGTCTAGTGTTTTCATTTGTGTGCACCCCTTTTCAGATTCTGAACCCCAGCCGTGTTGGATGTGGCAGTTGGCATCTTAAGTATGTCTCTGCAAGAGGTGTCTTTTTTAAGATTATTAATTGATTTTGAGAGAGAGAGAGAAGCATTGATCAACTGCCTCCTGCACACCCCCCAACCGGGGATCTATCCTACAACTCAGGCATGCGTTTTATTCAGGACTCCAACCTGCAACCTTTCAGTGCACAGGATGACCCCCAACCAACTGAGCCACACCAGCCAGGGCAAAAGAGTTTATCTTGATAGGAGTGTCTGAAAGTCTCTCTCTTTTTGTTTTTTCTCTCTAGTAATACTTTTTACCTTGATAAAGGCAAGTTTTTAGCCTAATGGTTCTGGGAATTCTTTGTGGCAATTAAAAATTAAGAATTTCAATGAACTGTTATTTATGTATGTTATAGCTAGCAATGGGTTGGTAATGTTTAACAACTAGCTGTCCAAGAAAAAGCCCTGATTTTGTGTAGCGTTTTCCAATTTCTGTGGTGTAAATACTTCCACCCTGGCCAAGTTCCCTCTATCAATATAATACCTCTACACACAGAATTGGGAATAGATATGTGTACATCCATGAAACACTGTTAGTCGAGGTAATGAAGATGCCCACTCCACCATCAAAAGTTTCCTTGTTCTTTTTTATAATTCCTCTAGTTATTCTTCTTGTTCCTAAGCACTGACTGGTTTTGTCACTGTAGATTAGTTTGAATTTTTTAGAATTACATAAAAATAATATATGTACCATACCATATATGTACTTTTTAATTTGTCTTTCATCATTATTTGGAGATTATCCATATGTGTGCATCAGTAATTCATTCCGTTTTTATTGCTGAGTAGTAGTTTGTTGTATGGATATACCATCATTTCTCCACTTGTTAAGCATTTGAGTTTCCAGTTTTTGGCTATTACAAATAAAGCTTCTTGTACAAGTTGTTCATTTCTCTTGAGTTAGATATTTAGCATTGGAATGAAATGGTGGGATCATACGTGTATTTCACTACCAAATTGTTTTTCAAAGTGATTGTGCCATTGTACATCACTACCAGCAATCTGTTAGAATCCCAATGTGCTCCACATCCTCACCAACAGTTGGTATGATTAGTCTTTTTAATTTCATCCATTTTAATGGGCATGTAATGTTTTCTGGGGGTTTTAATTTGTAGTTCCGTAATCACTAATGATGCTGGGTATCTTTATTTATCTGTATATCTTTGGTAAAGTGTTCATATCTTTCCTTCATATAAGTATTGGGTTATTTACCTTTTTATTAATTATTATGAGTTCTTTATATACTCTAGATAAAAGTCTTTTTTCAGGCATTATGTTTTGCAAATTTATTCTCCAAATCTGAGAAGAAGAAAGTCTTCATTTTCTTAAAACTATTGCTTAAAGAACAAAGGTATTTAATTTTCATGAAGACTGATTAATACTTTTTTTCTTTGAAGTTTGTCTTTTCTAAGTTTTATGTATTATGTAAATCATCAAATCCAAGGTCACTAAGACTTTATCTTAAATTTAAGCCTATAATCTATTTTCAGTAGTTAATTTTTGTGTGTGGTGTAAGAGTCAAGATTTTTTATTTTATTTATTTTTTTGGCCTATGGTTGCCTTTTGTTCCAGTACCATTTGTTGGAAAGATTATCCTATGCCCATTGAGTATCCTTGGCTCATTTAGGAAAAGTGAATTGACCATACACATCTCAGTCTATTTCTGGACTCTATTTTATTTCATCAATCTATTTGTCTATCTTTACACCAGTAACTAACTGTGTTGATTATTGTGGCTTTCTAATATGTCTTAAAGTCAGGTAAAATTAGTCCTCTAACCCCCCCCCCCCCGCCCCAAAATTGTTTAGACTATTCTGAGTTCTTTGTATTTCTATGTAAATTTCAGAATCAGGTTGTAAATTTTTATGGAAAAGTCTCTAGGGCTTTTTGTTGGGATTGCATTGACTCTTGAATGCAGTTTGGTAGAAAATTGACATTTTAACAGTACTGACCCACTGACCCATGAACATGAGATGTCTTCTCAGTTATTCAGGCCTTCTTTAATATCTTTTAGCAGTATTTGGTAGTTTTACTGTGAAGAATGCAATTTTTTGCCGTAGCTGGTTTGGCTCAGTGGATAGAACATCGACTTGCAGACTGATGGGTCCAGGATTTAATTCCAGTCAAGGGCACATGTGGAGAGTGGCTACAGCGTTCGGACAGGATTAAGCCTCGGACTGACTTGTGGCAAAGCCACATACAAGTCCCAGCTTGGAGGTCAAACCTTGAGCCAAAAGGCTATGGTTATAAGCTTGACTTACAGTCCAACCCTGCAGTCCTAGGTAGCTAAGGGATGTGGGCTGCGGGAGGTGCAGCAAGTGCTGCCTAAACAAGGTTTGATAGAGTACAGAGAATGGGAACAATAGGAAAGAAGCAGATTTGAAATTCACAAGAACATTGTAAACATCTAACCTTGTTTTGCTTTGTGTGATCTGACTATAAAATAAAGCCACGGTTTACAGGCTGTGTCACTGTTTCCTCATCCAGGCACAGTGATCCACCTGGCCCCAACTGTATTCTCCTGTCTGTTTTCTTTAATCCTTCACTGCCCCTCCTCAAGTTCAACACTGGCCGTGCTGGACACAGTTCAGGCACATGCCTGGGTTGTGGGCTCGATCCCCAGTATCTGGGATGCAGGATGCAGCCAATCAATGATTCTCTTTCATCATTGATGTTTCTCTCTCTCCCTGTCCGTTCCTCTCTGAAATCAATAAAAAATACATTTTTTTAAAAAGGTGAAATGATAATCACATACTTCTTTAAAAGAAATGCATTTTTTTGGTCCAACGTATCCCCAAGGGTTGCTGGTTCTTTTGTGTGTTTTTTAATGCTAGAGTATTGTTTTGTAAACTTCAGTTTCCAATTTCTCACTGCTACTATATAAATTAAAATTTATTTCTGAATTTTATCTTGTAGCCTACAACCTTGCTAAACTCACTTTAGAAGCTTTTTTTGGGTAGATTCTATACGATTTTTTAAAATATAGATGAGCATGTCTGCAAATTAAGACAGTTTATAAAATAAGTGAACTTCTTTCTTTCCAATCTGGTTCCTTTTTATTATTTCTGCCTTATGGCATCGGCTAGACCTTTCAGAACAGTGTTGAATAGAAAAGTACACATTTTTATGGTCCTGATCTTATGGAGAAAGCATTTAATCTTTTATAGGTGCCCTCGATCAGATTGGGGGAACTCCCTTCTATTACTAGTGTGCTGAGAGTTTTTATCAAGAAAGGATGCTGGATTTTTCAGAGGCCTTTTCTGCCTTTATTGACACAAGTACATTTTTTCTTCTTTAGCCTATTTTTATCATGAATTACATTGATTTTGCAGTGGTAAACAAATCTTGTGTTTCTGGGATAAATTTCACTTGACCACAATATATTAAAATAAGGTTCTTTTTAATTTGTTGTTGGATTGATTTGCTAACACTTTAAGAGTTATTGCATCGGCCTTGGCTGGGTTGCTTAATTGGTTAGAACAGTGGCTCGCGAGCCACATGCGGCTCTTACCTGTAGGATTTGTAGTTGGTTGGAAAAATACAGGTAACTTTATACTTCCAGTAGGTACTTTTGTTACCCGCGCGATTTGCGAACCCGACTAGCACTAACCACTGCACAACGAGACTGCTGACTGACTGGCTCACTCAGCTCGTGCGTGAATCACACGCGCCTCCCCCACGTATCCCGCAGCCCGCCCACACCCCCCACTTCCGAACCACGTCTTCAAAATAGACTCGCCCAGGCTGAAAACCGATTTCCGTGCGTGGGCCACGAAGTTTCAATTGCACTGCACATGTGCGCTCCCACATGGTATTTTGTGGAAGAGCCACACTCAAGGAGCCAAAGACCCGCATGAGGCTCGCGAGCCAGTTTGCTGACCACTGGTCTAGGAGAACTGCGTGGTAATTTGTTTGCATCCTGTTTCCTAATATCAATTATTCTGGCTAGAGGTTTATAAGTATTATTGATCTTTTCAGAGAACAAGCTTTTGGCTCCATTGATTATCTGTTTTTATAATTTGATTTTATTTCTGATCTTTTTTTTCTGCTTGCTTTAGATTTCATTTGCTCTTTTGCAAAATTTTCTTAAACTGGTTGGTGAGAGTCACTGATTGGAGATTTTTCCTTCTTTCCAATAAGTTTTTAGTGTTAGAAAATTTCCTCTAAGTATTGCTTTAGATGCATCCCCAACCTTAGATATGTTGTATTTGTATTTTCATCCAGTTTAAAATATTATCTAATTTCTCTTCTGATATTTTTCCTATGAGCCAACAATGATTTTGTAGTTATTTCGTTTATAAATATTTGGGGATTTTCCATATCACTGTTACTGATTTCTAATTTGATTCCACTGTGGCCAGAAAGCATACCCTGTGTAATTTGAATTTTTTTAAATATATTGAGGTTTGTTTTATAGCTCAGAGTATGATCTCTTTTAATAAATGTTCCATGTGCAGTTGAAAAGAATGTGTATTCTGCAAGTTGTTTGGCAGAGTGTTCTATAAATGTCAACCAGGTCACATTGGTTGATAGTGTTTTTAAGTCTTCTATATCTCTACTGATTTTCTTTCTAATATTTCATTAAGTTGTTAACAGAGGGGCGTTGATAATTGTGGATTTGTCTGTTTATCATTACACTTTTGTCTTCATGTATTCTACACTTGATCTTGGCCAAAAGGCCAAGAAGCAATATCTTCATGTATTTGGAAGCTTTGTTATTTATTTTTTAAATGCAGTCAATTTTATTTTCCTTAAACCACAAAATAGAGTCTTTGGTTGTAAAAACATCACTAGTTACAGCCTTGCCAAGAGGTCCCAGCTCGGGAGGGGGCAATTAGTCTGTGGCTAGAACTCCTGAGGGGCATCTAAAATGCTAACACCCAGGTTAAAAGACTTGGGGCAAGGGTGGTATTGGTGCTGGCAGGCCTATAGGAGGGCACTGGGCCCAGGCCTCCGTGCCCCAACCACAGGGGGCGGTGGCTGCTGCACAGGCCCATGGCGCCTGGTGAGGGCCTGCCCAGAAGCACCAGGGCCACCTCTCCATCCCCCTCCTGCAGGCCAGGGCTAGGAGACAGCTCCTGAGATCTCAGTTCCTCAGCAAAATCTGGGACTGCATGTCATATGGAAGCTTTGTTATTAGTGCTTAAATTACTAGATTTGTTATAGCATCTTGATGAATTGAGCCTTTTCCCATTATGATACAGCTCTGTATTCTTTTTTGCTCCACAATGACTTTGATATTAATTATGCCACTCCAGTTTTCTTTTGATTAGTATTATCATGTATCTTTTTCCATTCATCTTTTAAACTTTTTAAAAATTAAATTTATT